CTTAATTCACATTGATGTATTTGAGTAAATGCCTTGAAGTGTTTGGAAAGGTTTTGAAATGTCTAGAGATGTCTAGAATGTTCCACAGAATGCTAGAACAAAGTAGACCCCAAAATAGTAGAGTGTCAGTTGTTGTCTTAAAAATGCAGCAGATTATGCCTTTTTTACAAGGGTTAATCGATTAACCCATTTGCACTAGCAAATGGTTAATCAATTAACCAGGTCAAAATTTGCCCAATTTTCTTGAAAAATGGTGCTATGGCCACAACTTCGATTTTCGACCTTTTGCTTTGATGAATAGGCATAAAAACTCTTGTTTTTTTTTGCTTGCATTTGATGATGTGATATCTTTGTGAGAATGTGATTAAACGGGCTTGAAAAACCTGAGTATTCCTGCAATAAAAAACAGAGAAAAAGTGTGAATGCATATGCCAGCGATGCGAATGCACATGCTTATGCAAAAGCAAAAAGGGAGGTCAAATTTTGGGTTACGACAAATAGATAGAAGAAGGACGTCTCAGAGTGCCATCTCTCTGCAAAGCCCATCAGCATCCCATTATGGATCACGCTGTAACCAAACTCACAAAGGTCCTTCAAACCAGAGGGTCTGTGATGAACCCTCAACTGAATCCCGACACCTCCGGGATGAAGAAGTGGATGATGGGGTAGGATACGAGGTCGAGGAAATGTCTTGGGCATGTGATGAAGAAAGATGTGCCTCAATTGTATCGACCTCGGTAACGATGGACGGGCTCCGCTCGCGTCTCACAGATGCATGTTGTGAAACTCGTCCAAGTCGCAATCTATCTTCTCTGTCTGCCATAATGTTTGCATGGTATAACCAAGAAAAAACAATTATATACAAATAAATTTAAAAACAAAAAAGAAAAAAAAATCAACATTTTTTTACTTCCGGATTTGAACATACGGAAAACTTCTGTATATGTATCTACGGAAGAACCCAAAATTTAGAAAGTTTGATTTGTTCCGGAGATGCATCTATGGAATTTCCCTAACGTTAATTTGTTCCGTAGATGTAGCTCCGGAACTTCCAGCAACTCCAACAGTCACGACAATGGCATCCCCTACCCATGAAAATCCATTTTTTGAAGTTCTGATCGTCCGTTTCAACCAACAAACAATAACTACATTGTCTTTAAACTATGTTTCTAAAACTATATAAGGATTTCTACCCCTAAAACTATATTCTAACTCGTTTACAGGAAATATTCGAAAATACCTCAGAAACTCAAAAATTTACCGATTATATCGAGCTTTGAATGAGTTGGAGTGTCTTCATCGTTGAAATGAATGCTCCTTATCGAACTTGATTGAAAAAGTTAACTTTGGTGAAAAAAGATTTTTTGAGGATTGAGAGAGTTTGAGAGTGAAGAAGATGAAAAATGAAGAATGAGGAAGAAGAAGGGACTCTGGCGCGAATGTATTTCAATTTGTTCCAGAGCTATATAAACAAAAACATTCCGTAGATGTAGCTCCGAAAAAAGCCAACATTGAGTAAAAGAAAGGTGCGTCCGAAGATACATTTTCGAAAATAGGGGATATTTTTGAAATCGCACATGGTGTCTAAAAACTCCAAGGGATGGGGTAAGAAATTCTCTTAGTTTTCTAAAAGGATCATGAGAGTATATTACTGTGTCGTGCCATCCTTTAATGCTGAGGCGAGCATTTTAAATTATGTGACTTTAGACTTCACCATTGGATATGTTATGTTCTTTAAAAGGTGATTTTTTTGAAGAACAATCCATAATATATATATATATATATATATATATATATATATATATATATATATATATATATATATATATATATATATATATATATATATATATATATATATATATATATATATATATATATATATATATATATATATATATATATATATATATATATATATATATATATATATATATATATATATATATATATATATATATATATATATATATATATATATATATAAAGTTAAGTCTTTTAGGCCAATACATATACAAATACATTATTATGATTTTATATTATTTTTAAATTTTTTTATACCAATGTTACAATTAATTATTTATGATCTCATTTAATTTATTTATCTCACTACAATAAATGACTAAGATATTACCAAGAAACATATAATTAGTATTATATTGAACCTTGAAAAGATACAATAAATATGAACGAAATTTTCGGACAAATTCCATTAAACTTAAACCATTTCATCTCATATAGTGGTTAGGTAGAGGGAAGGCAAAAATATCTGTACCCGCGTATATCCGCGGATAAAATCTATCACGGATATGAGGCAGATAGTTTAATGGATATCCATGAATAAAATAAATGTATATTTAAATATCCGCTTGTTAATGGATATGGATACGAGTTTAATAATATTCGTGTCCGTAGATATCTATATCCGTTAATAAATTATAAAAATCATTTAAATATCATTAGTTTCTTATAACTTATGTTTCATCTTCTAAAATAAATAGTCTTATTATATTTCTTTATTATTATTTTTTTAAATTTCTTTGAAGAAAACCTTCACATTTCATTCAAATTCTATTAGACATTTCATATTTAAATTCTTCAATACTTCATACCCCACTTTAACAATTTCACAGTCCAACCAACTAGTGTTGTCATTCCTCTATCGAACTAATGTCTCTTTGCCTACTCCTCTCTAGTTCACTCTTCCACCATAACTCACAATCACAATATCTTTTATTTGTTTGGTTAAAATAAAATGTATGGATATTATGTTTGGATCAAATTATATTTTGGTGAATAAAAAAAAATTAATGTGATGAAGTTTTATTGTTAAATTAAGAGCGAACTCTATGGATGATATGTGATAATAATTTTGTGTCTTTAAAAGAAGTTAAAATAATTTTTATAAAAATAAATATTATCCATGGATATCTGTAAATACCCATGGATACCGTAAAACCCGCAGATTACCCGCTTAACGGATATCTGCATGGATATGAGGCGGATATGAATATAATATTTGTCCAACGTGGCAGATACAAATATCATAGTATCCGTCTCCATGAATATCCATTTACATAGGGTGCGAAATAAAAGTCATGACATCACACTTATTTATTTTTTAAGAAATAAAATTTCAGCCACTAAACTATGAGACAAAAAACATATTATTTAAACAATAAAATACCAATCTCACATATATTTATTTTTATATCTCTTGTACCTTTTATCTTCTACATTTACCAACATTTAAAATATAAAAAAATTTGACACCACAATTGACATCAATTTTTTTATTTACAAATATCGTTCTCCCCTAATAAAGCCAAGCCTGCCTAAAGGCCTAATAAGTTGTTAAATGTTTATGTTTAAAAAATTTGATAAAAAAATAGTCTAAAAATTTAATTTAACTATAAATTAGTTATAGATGTTACCTTGTCAGTCACGTCATTATTATAATCATTGAATATTGAATTTAAGAATGTTTACAATGTAGTTTGAGCGGTTTTGACACTAAAAATTATCCGAACAACAAGAGAAAAAAGAATACATTTCAGTTTGGTTCGGTTGGTTTTTAAAAATAAATCGAATCAAATCAAACCAAACCAATGATGTTTGAGTTGGTTTGATTTTTTATAAGATTTTTATTGAGTCATACATACACATACAGAGAACAACATAACTTTATATTTAATCATCCATACATTACCAAATAACAACAAAACTCATCATATTTAAACAAAAATTTCTCATTCAATATACAAAAACTAGATTAAACAAAAGTAAAAAAAATGTAGGATAAAACAATATCGAAATCATTATTATAAAACATAAATAATAGAGGAGAGGAGAGATTAAAGAAGATGAAAATGAAATAACAGAAGAGATGCGAGATTATTGAAGAAAAATATGATATAAACGTATTTGGAAGAGAAAATAGGAACATAAATATGAGAAAATGAAAAAAAAAATAGTATAAGAGAGGAGAGATTATAGTAGAAGAGGCAAGACATACATCGAAATAAAGATGAAAAGAATGTGCAATACTACTAAGACAGATTTGAGAAAGTTGAAACTGAAACCTTAAGTGCCTGTAAGAGAAAATTGTTCGTAATTTTAAGGTTAAGGGATAATAGATTTAAATTTTGGGTTGGATGTGAGATAAGTGAAGTTTGAGTTGAAATACAATACAGTTTGATTCGGTTTGCAAAATACAAACTGCAAATCAAACTAAACCGCACAATTTTGTTAAAAAAATGACTCAAGTTCATCATATTCAAATACAATTTTTTGCAATTTTAATTATGATTTGTTTGGTTGCGATTTTCAATTGTGTTGGTTTGGTTTTGATCCCTCCTAATTAAACTTAATCAATTATATGATTAACCTTAATATTCAGGTCTAAGTATGTAGAAACTTTTGGTACTACATAAATAACTTAAATAAATGAGTCTTTATTGTTGATGTGACTTTGTGAATTTAATGTATTTAGGAGAATAATGTATAATTAAAATTAGTATTTAGTGAGAGTGAAAAATTGATTTAGAATGAGAAAAATGAAAGTCATCAAAGTTACGATTGCTAAAGTCATCCATTTCTTGTCGGGATTGAATTTGCTACTTTTATTATTGGTAACTTTTATATCTTGTGTATTTTTAAAAATGGATTAGTAAGAGAGAGAATGATGATTATGAGAGAGATAGAGACAAGGGTACCAAAGGTAGCCAACCACTTCCCTTTCTGGTCCGCTTAAATAAGGAGTGAAAAGTGGAAACAAAATGCATAAATACAAATGAAGGGAAGTGTGGGAAGCAAATGAAGGAGGTGTGAATGGTAAGTACAAACGAATTTCACTGGGCTATTAGTTTTCTTAATTGTAAAACGGCCCAATTCGAAATTGCCGCTACTCTATCTCTCTCCCATCTCTATCCACTTTTCTTTTATCCTGTAAAACCGAAGCACTCACTGGTTCTGGATTTGCAGTTCTTTCTCAAGCAAGAATGGCGAACGTAGCAGTTATGGCTACCACCACTAACCACACCAGCAGCAGCAGCCGCTGGAACATGTCTTCTCTCCGCTCCGCCTTACCTTCCATCACTCCTCCTTCCGCTTCATTGGTGCGCTTCACCGCATTTCCTCCTCATTCTCCACCAACACTCCGAATTTCGAAAATCAAACCTTCATCCTCACTTCCTCCATTCACCGGACTTCGTACTCGCCCTCTCTTCGGTCCTGCTTCCTCAGGTATACTACTTTTTTTAAAAATGGATTGATTACAACAATGGGGAAATTGAAGTTCTATTATCATTTCTGTGAATATACAAGCATTCAACACTTTGTGTTTGATTCTGTGACCGATTGAAAAAACGGAATCTGTTAAATGTTCTGGTAGAACAATTGGCTGCTGTTACTGTGTTTGGTTACTATTATTCAGAATTAGATTGAATCAGTGTAATCAAACAGCAATGCCATGCGTATATACATGGCCGTTTTTGGGCTTGCTGCAATGGTAAATATTAGCCAATATTGCTGCTTTTTCCGGCCATAATCCACTATAACGGTGCCGCTAAGCAGCCGGTATGGCAGGATTTTGGCTCTCCGTCATGGAGTGCCATCCGCCATCGACAACACTGGATTAAATAAACAAAAATATTTCTATGTTGAGATTCCTCTTATTCCACCCAAATTTGCTTATGCTTTAGATGTAAAGTCTTGAGTATTAGGTGTGTTAGAATCTCGCAAAGCTGCATCTGCTAGAATTATGCTTTACTAGTAGTCATCGACTTAAAATTCGTTAGGTCCAACCCTAGTTTTAATACTCATCCTTTTGCTCGTTGTTGGCTTTCCCATTTTTCCAACACTTTCTCTTGATATCTATACTAACCCGGTATCACAAAGCTTGTTGATTCAAACACTACACCATAATCTACTTTCCTAACTAATCCCTTTTCTTCCACTGAAATTCAATCTAGGTATAGTGCTGTAGCTTTTTCATACCAAAACTTAAGATAATGCTTGACGAGAACTTTTTCCCATGAAAATGGAAGATCAAAGGTGTACTCAGGGTCTACTAATTGCAAAATTTTGTTTTTATATCCATATCAGATGTGGAAATTGTACTGCAACATTTATGCTGAAGTTGTTTCTTAGTTTATTGAGTGTGAATGAAATCTGCTTTCCCATAGTACCCATTATCTTTTGAAATTCTGCATTGAATTAACTACTGTATTATATGTTATTTGAGCAGAATTTAGTGGCTTTGATCAAGGTTTCATCGTGATTGGCAACGGTGGTCGAGTCTATGCTATGAGACATGGAAGGAAAGTGCCAAAACTCAACAGGCCCCCGGATCAGCGTAAGGCACTCATTCGAGGCCTAACAACTCAACTCCTTAAATATGGTCGCATCAAGACCACCAGAGCAAGAGCTAGTGCAATTAGGAAATATGTCGATAAAATGATCACTCTCGCAAAAGATGGTTCTCTTCATAAAAGGAGACAAGCCCTTGGGTTCATCTATGAGAAGCAGATTGTTCATGCTTTATTTGCAGAGGTTCCAGAACGTTACGGCGAAAGAAATGGTGGTTATACAAGAATCATAAGAACCCTACCAAGGCGGGGTGATAATGCACCTATGGCATACATCGAACTTGTGTAATTATTAGTCACTGCATTTACGAGCTGCAATTATTAGCATCCGTGCAGGAATATTGAGATTTGTAATGCTTCCAATGTTCAACAACTTACTCTACAGTTTTTTCCTATGTTTAGTTGTTTTGTATTTGTAAGTTTTATGTATGGACAAACATTGGTTCAAAGATTCACTTTATTTGTATGAGCTCGACTTAAATGTGTATGTGAAAAGAATACATACATATATGACAAACAGTCATGAGGCTAGATGCTGTGTTGCTCAATTCTCTGTTCAGTTATCCAAAAGTAAGAACCAGATTGTTAAGTTATCCAAAAGTAAGAACCAGAGTGTTAAGTTATCATATTATTGAGGACTTGTCAATGCATAACACAATTAAGATGATAAACTAGAAGGTTGATTTGGATATTAAAATAGGGGAATTATTGAGAACTTCATCTTAATGGTGAAATGATAAGAAAAATAATAATAAAGCACAATTTTCATGGACAAAACAAATATATATATATTTTTTCATAATGATGCACTCATTTAAACTTTTTATACGATTTTTTGTAACTGAAAGAATAAAATAAAATAATTATTATATTATTTTAAATTAAGAATAGAAGTTAGATTTTTAGATAACTAGATAAGGTTGTTCCTGATATCTTCCAACTTTTGACCCATTCTCTTTTTGCCAATTGCCATCCTTCTCTATTGTCATTACTTCTTCTCCTAACTCTCTCTCTACATATCAAGCAACAGAAAAAACCTCAGTGGTGTTATCTCATCACAACCACAACAACAGTAACAAGAAGAACAAGATCACGATGCTGGGTATGGGGACTCTAACTTTGAGTTCATCAACTGCAATGCTAGCTCAATCCACCCTCACCTCTTCCAACAGAAACCACATCCTTTCCAACAAAACTCACTCTTCACCAATCAGTTTGGTCTCTTCCACCAACCAAAAGAATTTCACCTTACTCTCTTCCTTCAAGAAACAAACACCTTTTACCACTGCTGTTGCATCTCTTCAATCAGACAATGTTAGCTCTTCTGACGCTCCTGCTACCAAGGTTAGTAACATTCTTAACTTATTTCTCTGAATGTGCTATGCAGTTATTGAGCTAGTTGGTATTTATGGTAGTTATTCTAATAATTTGTTGTTGTTGTTGTTGTTGTTGTTGTTGTTGGGGTTTAGAATGAGTTCAACAAGTACTATTTTATTATTGCAAATGCAAAATTTATGCTGGATGAGGAGGAGCATTTCCAAGAGCAGCTATTTGAACGCCGCCGCTACTATGGAGAGCGTAATAAAGAACAGGATTACTGGCTTGTCGTTGAGCCTAAATTCTTAGACAGTTTCCCCGACATTAAGAAGAGATTGGGGAGGCCTGCTGTTGCTCTTGTGTCGACCAATGGTCCATGGATCACGTAAGAGCATCGATCAGTTCTTTATTTTCAGATGACAGCTTTTGATGTTTCAGACAATTTATAACTTTGCTGTTTGTGTTTTGGCAGATTCATGAGGTTAAGACTGGATCGAGTTTTATCAGGAAGTTTTGAAGCTGACAGCCTAGAAGAAGCATTGGCCTCCAATCCTACTAATCTGGAATTTGAGAAGCCTGCAAAATGGGTGGCACCGTATCGGAAATATGAATCTGGATGGTGGGAAAGTTTCTTGCCCTCTGGACAGAAAGAGGCGACGTCGTAAGACATTTTTTATCCATTCTGTTTCAGCAATGGGTACTCATAGTTGAATGTAGTTGATGTCGGTTAAATTTTCTTTTAGTTTTGTAATTTTTGAAAGCCAGTATAATTATTTGATGTTGAAGCGTTTCCCTTAGAATATAAGTTCTAGGTATTGTTTTTATGCCTCAAATGAGTGAAATATAGACATTGTTTTTGCTTGAAAGCCTCGTAGCATGTTAGATATTGCGTCTTTTGAACAAACTGACTTCAAAGGTAATATTTGGATTATGTAAATTATGTAAAGCTTGTGTAAGGTCTGGATAGTTGATGCGAATCTATAAAATGTACTAGTTTACACTTTTTATTCATCAACCTATAAAAAAGCCTTTGTGGTATCATCATACAATGCTCCTAAGAACACTGAACCCGAGTCAACGTATCGATAAGGACTTGATTGCTTTAGCTTTCTTAATACAGATGTACATTTTAGTTCATTTTCTTCTTTCTTGCATCCTTTTTGATGAACACAGGTTTGAGGTAAAACTGTGTAGCAACATCACCGGTGTATTAACTTGAATCCACACCGTGTAGAAGTTGTGTTACCTCTATTCTAGATGGAAATCTTGCAAGTGTTGGGACTTCCCAAAAATCTTCTTCGTCAACTCTGCGTATCGATTATTTAATTCAATCAGCGCCTTCTCAGAAATGATATCTATAATTTCTTGATTTCTTTCATAAATTGCTGGCAGTGTCATCAATGTCACAGTTGCTACATCAACAGAGCAAAAGAGAAAAATAATATTAGTACTAACTTTGTGTGGAATCACACAGTTAAGGAATTGCTGCAGTTAAGAGATTGGTACCGTTGAATCAAGTTTAGGTTTTGATTCAACGGCATTGATCTCCTTACTGTGGCAAATGTGGTTTCGCTAACTGCACAGAAACCGAATCTGGTTTGTAACTTGATGATACTGTAGGTAGCCAGCTGACCTATGTAGAAGATTGTTGAAGCAGCGAACAAATTGCCTAGAATGGAAACAACTCCTAATGTCCATGTAACCTGGCGATAATTTTCTTGTCAGCTAAAATCGAATGATACTGTGACAAGATATAGTATGTATAAGAAAACTTAAAAAAAATGCTGAAGTGCACCCAAAGAAACTTCTTGAAATCTCGTCCCGAAGCTAGGAGTCCAAATGTTACGAGTTGTCTGTTAAGTTTTCTTGTCATTGAAATAGCTGTATTAACAAGAGACCCTTCTGGTAAAGTGAGTGCTGATAATTTAGGTGGAGATCTGTGTTAAAAAGAAAATAACATCATTCATTGATGTAATTGAAATTGCCTTTGCATATTTAGTTAAAAGAATTTGGTGTCGGTGTCTGAGTATGTGTGTCCGTGCTTCATAGATACCGACTGATAGGGTGAATTAAACTCACATGTCAATGAAGGAAGTTAGATGAGTCCAAAGGAATAAGATTGCCAATAGGATTATGAGAGAGTCACAAATGAAACTAAGCAAGGTGTATTCCATCCTCTTAAAAACGAACCATATGACAGTTACACCAGCTAGAATACTTGCTGTGATCCTCTTATTTCTCCACAGTATAATATCAGCAACTACAAGAAACAGAAACTATTAGTAAATTTCATCGCAAGATTGACAGTTACTGATTCCTTTTAACTTGCAGCAGTTAGAAAGGCAAATCCGGTTCTACCCAAAACAAACAGAGAGATAAACACGTAGAACATAATAATGTAAAAGAAACATGAAAACATACCAATTCCAGAACCTAGGACAACATGAAGAGGCAATTTCGGGGCAAAGATGCGGTTCTTGGCAGCAGAGAATACAAAATATTTCTCAAACACAGTCTCGAATTCTGAGTCATCGTCATCAAGTTCTCTGTTATGACCAAGAAAATCAGAGTCTGCTACATCCATGAATTCCACATGATGAACCATTATTTATATCTTCCTTTTTCTTCTATTGTACGTAAGATCTTTACCAAATGTTATAAGTATAGTAAAACCTGTATACACAACAACATCTCTATTAAAATCAGTGACATGCAAGATGGATGCATAAACAAAAACAATGTTACAACATTATATACCACAAGAATTCAAAAATGAAAAGCACTTACATCGGATTAATCAACGACAAACACGTATATGGATTCAGGATTTGTTGAATTTGTTTTTGGTTATCGGATTCCTGTCTCTAAGTGATAAGCTACAAATCTCAGGGGCCTGCACAATGAAACAGACCCCTCAAAATTCGCATTAAGGCATGCATTTCTTACTCTAATCTAATTATATTATATGATTTTAATAATATTTTTTCAATTATGTAAAAATGTACCTTTTTTTTTTTATATAGAAATTCAGGAAGTTTTACCCCATACCCCTACACTTATATCTATACCCCTACATTAAAAAATTTTGGACCAAAATATCCTCGTATAAAAATTTATTATTTTTTAATTTTTTTTATATTTTTTTATTTGTTTACCGGAAGACTTTTTGGAAGTCTTCCGGTTCACATTTTTTTAGTATGTTTACCGGAAGACTTTTTGGAAGTCTTCCGGTACATATTTTTTCATTTGTTTACCGGAAGACTTTTTGGAAGTCTTCCGGTTCATATTTTTTTTTTAATTTGTAATTAATATTTAAGATTTATTAATTTTATATAAAGACCAATTTAGTAAATTTTTGAATATTATACTTAAAATATAAAAATTTTATAAATAGAGAATCATTTTCAGAATATTTTTTATTTACTATAATTATTAGAATACTAGGATTAAAATCATTTAAAATAAATGATCATAATAGTAGAATTTTCTCAAATATCTTATTAATCTTAAACATTAATAAATAAAATAAATTTAAATATAAGATATAAGTTTATATTATTCAATATATTTAATCAAATGAAAACATATGTGATAAATAAATAATGTATTTTAACTTAAAATGATCACAATAAGTTAACTTGCAAAATAATATAAGTAATAAATTAATAATGTATTTTATTTAAAATAATCACAATAATAAAATACGCAAATAATGTGTTTTATTTATAGGACTGATATAGTTTTATTGATTATTTAATTTTGAATACTACTATGAATATAATATTTAATCTATACTTTAGAACTCACATAATTATAAATATAAAAAATATTGTTTTATTACCCATATTTTTATTTAATTAAAAAAAATAAGAATATAAATTTATTATTTGTTTTTCATTTTTGTTTGATCTTTTTAATTATTTCACTTTATTTAATATTTTTAATAAAATAAATAATATATTTTATTTAAAGTAAGCACAGTATAGAATATGCAAAAAATTTATAAATAAAAGAAAGATCAAACGAAAATGAAAAACAAATAATAAATTTTTATTTTTATTTTTTTAATTAAATAAAAATACGGATAATAAAACAATATTTTTTATATTTATAATTATGTGATTTCTAAAGTATAGATTAAATACTATATTCATAGTAGTATTTAAAAATAAATAATCAATAAAACTATATCAGTCCTATAAATAAAACACATTATTTGCGTATTCTATTATTGTGATTATTTTAAATAAAATACATTATTAATTTATTACTTATATTATTTTGCAAGTTAACTTATTGTGATCATTTTAAGTTAAAATACATTATTTATTTATCACATATATTTTCATTTGATTAAATATATTGAATAATGTAAATTTATATCCTATATTTAAATTTATTTTATTTATTAATGTTTAAGATTAATAAGATATTTGAGAAAATTTTACTATTATGATCATTTAAAATAAATGATTTTAATCTCATTGTATTCTAATAATTATAGCAAATAGAAAATATTCTGAAAATAATTCTCTATTTATAGAATTTTTATATTTTAAGTATAATATTCAAAAATTCACTAAATTAGTCTTTATATAAAGTTAATAAATCTTAAATATTAATTACAAATTAAAAAAAAATATGAACCGCAAGACTTCCAAAAAGTCTTCCGGTAAACAAACGAAAAAATATGAACCGGAAGACTTCCGGTAAACAAATAAAAAAATATAAAAAAATTAAAAAATAATAAATTTTTATACGAGGATATTTTAGTCCAAAAATTTTTAATGTAGGGGTATAGGTACAAGTGTAGGGGTATGAGGTAAAACTTCCAGAAATTCAAATCGATAGATAATTGTGGATAAAGTTATTAGTTTTCGGGCCTAGGCGGGTGGTGTTCATTACATCACACAAATGAAAATTCCAAAATGCCTTTTATATACTCATGATTCTAAAATTACTTTATGACTACGATACCTTATTATTTTTGTTAAAAATTGGTCTGAATTTCAATTTCCGGGTTGACCATATGATATATTTTACACCCCTTTTGTAAAAGAATTTTGACATTTTTAAAATAAATTTACTTTATAAGTTATTTATAAATCAATTCTAAAATAAATCATAGACATTTGCTATAAAATAGTTAGATCAAAATAAAAAAATTAATGTGTATGTATGAATTTTAAAATGTCAACCACAAAATGTCATAATCAATTCCAATACAAATTATAATATAAAATGTAAAAATATACAAAATAAAATTTCACTACTGTGTGTATCTAGTGGCATTGTTCCTCCTCTGCAGCCAATACTGCAACGAATGTCGTACTTCTTCTAAAATGGCTTGTAGAATAACCATATGAGGAATGCCTTCCTCAAACTATTCCCTAACTATAACCTCTCTCTTAATAGTTGTAATGCAGTGATATACCGGTAACACATTAATGACATGGTCTGTTCTTACTTGCTTCTTTTTTAAGATCTTCTAATGAGCTGACATCGAAGAATCTCCCTCTACATCTAGTGTATCGAAGGATCTCCCTCTGCATCTAGTGTTATGTAAGGTTGTGACACCTTCTCAACCCATTGGATGTAGCTGTAACTATACTTTATGAACGAGGAGCTGGAACACAACATAGATCTTTTGGCACCAAGTGATTAAAGTACGTTGCAAAAATCTCATCAACATCCTTGCGGAGTACAGCGGCAGGTATGCGTGATAATGAATGGAACCAAGTAGAGCATACTTGAAAACTCGATTAAAAAACTAAATCGTTGAACTCAGTTCATGAACAAAATGAGCTAAATATGAGTAAAAAACCAAATTCGTTAACTAAATGAGCTGAACTTAAATTATATATAGTTCGATTTGTTAGGTTTATAAATCAACTCAATTATATACGAGAATCGTTATATTAGCTCTATTAATCCAAATTTCAACCCTCTATTTTCTTTTAATCTAGCCGTTTTAATTTATCATTTATAAGTAAACAAAATATTTTCTAAAAATAATTATACAAATAAAATCAATATCATATAAATATTATACATAGTAATTAAAGATTAAACTTTTTTATTTAATAAATTTTTTATATCAAATAAAAATATCAAAATTTTTTACTGGCAAGTGTTTATTTAAATAATATTTAAAAAACTAAAACTCTTTCATGATCAAAATATTAAAAATTAATTAATAAAATTTTAAAATAAAAATTATTATATAAATTGGCGACCACATGAAACTTTTATTATTTTATTTTCAAATCATTGTTTTATTTTACTAGATAAATGTTTAGTTGAAAATATATGGTTGCGATTTTCTTATTATTTTAATCACATTATTATTTTTTGTTGATATAATCTTGTTGCGGTGAGAATAGGATATCAAACTATTAATTAGTTTGAATCACATCTTTAGTTCATAACCGATCTTTGATTTATCCGAAGAAAAAAGTCAAAAGAAGGAAAACCTAATCTTTGCGTCGTAAACAATGCGAGGAGAGATCTAGGTAAGGGGTTGGTTAAACTTAGGGAAGGTATTAGCACCATAAACTTCTGTAGTACTCTATAGGAACCTTTTGTTTAAAGTTTACTATTTTGCTTGATTATCTGCTTGAGGGTATATACTAAGGGTTAAAGATGAAAGAAAGATCTAAGAGTTAATCCTAAGTTTACTCGTCAAGACTCGCATCTTGTGCCTACGTATCCGAGGTAGGGGATGAAATCAGAGTAATCGTAGTTCTCCTTGAAAGGGAGGTTAGAAACTTCTTGACTATGGTCAAGGTTTCAATGGGGAATAAGCGTTCATAGGAAACACTTACGTGGAGTGCGACGACTTCTATTTCTACGTTGAAATTAAATTGTAATGGTGTAAAATAGGTATTCCACGGCGGGAAACCTAAGACGGAGTACGGCGACTCCTTGACCTAATGCTAGGGTAAAGGGTAGTTCGGTCCACGGCGGGACACCTATGCAATTAGAATTTTGGAAAAGTCAAGGGTGAGGACTATTGACACGGCGGTCAAACAGTTAGACCTAATCCTTCGGAAGGGTTTAACGGTAAATAATGTCATGCAAAATAATTAAAGCAGCAGTATAAAAATATGGAAAAGTGCGAAACAGTAAAAGACATGCACAACGACGATATACTCGCGTAAATTACAACCCAAAAATGCAAGAATAAAACAGAATACCAGCGACGATGGCCTCGCGTAAATTACAACCCAAAAATGCAATATGAAACATAAAGAAATTGTAATACGGACGAATAAGAAATAATGAAAGCTAGGCGACTATTAAACGGGGCAAACAACAAGCCAAAATTAATTCGCAAGCTGAAATCGAGGTGTTAGCCATATTTTACGAAAAAGTTCCAAGGTTAACTGAAGAATTTACACAGAGCATTTTAGTTTGAAAGATTAAATTTAAAATTGAAATTGAAATTTATTTACAAAGTCTTATTTTTGAAAAAAAAAGTTTTAAATTAATTCTAAATAAAATGGTTCTATGTTAATTTAAAAAAATGTTTGATTTTAATTAAGTTTTTTTTAAAAGGGTTAATATGAATTTTGGAAAATAATTTCAAGTTTTAAGTTTTTTTTC